CATCCTGTGTTTTATTCCATAGCCCTATCTCCGGTTTACTTTCTGCCAACGATTAAGAAGGCACTCTATATCCTGCACCTTTGACACATCAAACTGAGCTACAACAAAGGTGAATAAGGTGGTTCAGATCTTCATTCAGAAATCAGTGGGAAATCTAGAGACTAATGGGAAAAACAAAGCAGACACAGACAGATCTGTGAGCGAGCAGGCGAGTGCAAGCTTACTTGTTTGACCTAGGCTTTTTGCCAGTAGCAGCCCTGAGCACATTCCCATGCAACACAATGTAATAGTTAAGAATATAAACTTTGAGGGGCGCCTGGATGGCTCAGTCAGTTAAGTGTCCCACTTAGGCTCAGGTCGTGATGTCATGGTTCATGGGTTCGAGCCCCGCATCAGGTTCCATGCTGGTGGTATAAAGCCTGGTTAGGATTCTCATGGTCCCCCTTCTCTCTGCCCCTCCCCTGCTCATGCTTTCTCTGTCTCTCTCAAAATAAATAAACTTTTTAAAAAAAGAATACAAACTCTGAATTCACACATCCTTGAGTTTGATTCCTTGCTCTAGTTCATATATAATTTTGTAACCCTGGGCAAATTACTTAATTTCTCCAAGCTTGAATTCCCTTCTATAAATTAGGATAATAATAGCCGCCTCCCACATGCTTCACTGATATGTTGCATCTAAGGTGATACCTAACCAGAGAATCAACATTGGCCTATTAACCCTAATGCTGCTTGCATGGCTAACTGTCACTACATCCTCTGGGACAACTCAAGGTAGAAGAGGATAGGACAAGACAGGAGAGAGGAGCATAGGATAGAACAGGATAGGATAGGACAGGATAGAATAATAGGATAGGAGAGGGTAGAACAGAAGGGAATGGAATAGAAGAGAATAGAAGAGAATGATTAGTCTACCACTTATGTTTTACTTAGTATGTACAAGGCACTGTGCTAACTGTATGCATGTATTTTCTCCTGTGATCCTTGTAACACCCCTGAGAGATATCATTACTCCTATTTCATAGATACTGGATCCAAAGCATAAATAAATTAGGAAATATTTCTAAGGTGGTAAGTCACACAACTTGTAAGTGGCAAATCTGAAACTCAAACCCAGTTCTGTCTGATCCCAAAGCCCATGCTTAACCTGTAGTAACACATACATCAAAATCTTTCTGTGGGATTTCCACTCTACATTGCAATTCTTTTCTGCACTAAGAACTCTGATGACTTTCATTTATGCATGGAAATGTCCATAGGAATTAAAGAATTCCATATTCCTTTCATTCTCGTATCTTCTCAGCAAGGACCAGGGGAAGGTCCTTATCTTCCTCTTCCCAGCCCGGATAAAACCATCTTTCATAATCTCAGTTTCTCCTCTACCTAAAGGCAAATTCATTTGCTTATGCCAATGAAGGATAAGTCACAGCTTCTTAATTGCTATTAATATGGCACACAATAGGGGCACCTGGGAGCTCAGTTGGTTAAGCGTCTGACACTTGGTTGCAGCTTAGATCATGATCTCATAGCTTGTGGGTTCAAGCCCCACATTGGGCTCTGTGCTGACAGCACAGAGCCTGCTTGGGATTTTCTCTCTCTGTCTTCCCAGCTTATGTGTGTTCACTCTCTCTCTCTCAAAATAAATAGGCAAAATTAAAAAATATATATACATGGCACACATTGAAAGCTCCTTATTTACAATAGCCAGGACATAGAAACAACCTAACTGGCCATCAGAGGATGAATGGATAAAGAGGTTGTTTTGTACACACACATGTGCGCGCGCACACACACACACACACACACACACAAATATACACACAGTGGAATATTATTCGGCCATAAAAAATAACAAGGAAATTCTACCATTTGTAACAACATGGATGGAATTTAAAGGCATTATGCTAAGTGAAGTAAGTCACACAAATTACTGTATGATCTCACTTATATGTGGAATTTAAAAAACAACACCAGCAAAAAAACCAAACTCAGAGGAAAAAGAGATCAGGCTTGTGGTTACCAGAGACAGAGGCTTGGATGAGGGAAAATTGGAGGAAGGTGGTCAAAACATACAAACTCCCAGTTATACTAAGTACTAGGGACATAATGTACAACGTGACTATGACCAACACTACTATAACACATAGGAAAGCTAAGAGAATAAGTCCTATGGGTTATCACAAGGAGAATTTTTTTTCCTTTTTTCTTTCTTTTCATTGTATCTATGAGAAGATGGATGTTGGCCAAACCTGTTGTGGAGATCATTTCACAATACATGTAAATCAAACCATCATGCTGTACATCTTAAACTTATATAGTGATGTATGTCAATTGTATCTCAATAAAACTGAGAAAACAAATAAAGTTTCTTTACGGCGTAGCAGGTATTTTATCTGTTATCTCCTATATCCTTAAATAGTGCAGACAAATAGGCACAAATTATAATATGTCCCAGTTTTACAGATGAGGAAACTGAGTGGCATCAATCATTTTCCAACATCACAGATATTAACTGATAAAACTATCACACAAGGCCAGGTTTCTTTTCTCAAAATTATTCTTTGATTCATTTCTTTTGTTGGGTATCTTCTCCTTTAAGGTACTATTCTGGAAACCAGAGCTGTCTCAGTGAACAACATAGACCAGAATCCTTCCATCCTGGATTTTAACATCTCCTGGGAAGAGAGACATTAAATAATCAAACAAAAGAGTGAAATGCTAAGAAGGAGGAATACAGGGGCACCTGGGTGGCTCAGTCGGTTCAGCATCCTACTTTGGCTCAGGTCATGATCTCGAGGTCTGTGGGTTTGAGCCCCGTGTTGGGCTCTGTGCTAACAGCTCGGAGCCTGGAGCCTGCTCTGGATTCTATGTCTCCTTCTCTCTCTGCCCCTCCTCTACTTGCACTCTCTCTCAAAAGTAAATAAACATTAAAAACTTTTTTTAAAAAAGAAGTTGGAATACAGAGTGTATAAAAGATTATGATAGAGGGATCTCAGATTAGAGAGTCACAGCTTTCCTCAAAAAAGAGGCATTTTAACTGAAATCTGAAGCTAAAAGGAATAAAGCAACAGAAGAGATAAAAAACACGGCAAACTGAGTATCAGACCCAGAAGGTATTTAGTCAGGATCACACAATGAGTCACTGACAGTCATAGAATCCAGCTATCCTGACCCTGAAAGTGGTGTTATTTCCTTGACACCAGACCACTGAAAGCTGTGTCAGGAACTTGTCTGCATGCCCATTTAGATGGTATCCTTCAAAAGCTCTCTCCCAGGCCTCTCTCCCAGGTTACAATATTCAGTCTTTGCTCGCCTGTACAGTGTTCTTATGGTGAATTAGAGCCCTCTGAGGGCTCAAAGCTTGTGCAAAGCAGTAGGCATTGTTAGCCTTTCCCATGTGAATACAGTCACATATCGGGGCCGATGGCCTGGCTAACAGAGGAAGCTTGAGTGTTATTTTCCCACTAACCCTACAGGACAAGCACAACGCTCAATCTTAAGTAGTGACTCTGAAGGCACAAATCTAACTTTTGAAACCTTTCTACTATGGACTACTATCTCTAGATCACAACCCCTTGCATAGGAGAAACAGGATCAGAGTCTTTTTAAGAAGATAGGTTGGAGAGACCTGGAAGGGTCCAAGCAGAGCTGCCTGATGGCTTTTAAGAGCAATGTGTTGCCTTGCAGGAAGTACTAACCTGGGAGTCAGAGGGTTATGTCCTAGCCTTGGTTCTGTGACACCAGACAAGCCTCCAGTTTCCACACCTCAATTAATATGATAGGGCCCTCTGATACTCACAGTGTATATGTTTTGGTCAATCTCTAAGTTTAGGAAGTTTATTTAGTTCCTAAACTAAGGCCCCATCCCAATTAACTAAATTTATCAGGATAAATTATCAGGATTAGCAGTTATCAGGATAACCAATGTCATATAGACTTGAACCAAATTTTACCCCATTGAGCGCTTGTATTCCATAGGGATAGTAGTTTGCACCTGAAATCCATAGTAGCATCTCAATCCCAATATTCTTTTTCACTGAGTGCAAAAATTTATTTTTCTTTTCTTTTTTTAATGTTTGCTACATGCATTGAGTGACATGTATTCAGTTCTGAAGAAGATAGTCTTGACCCTAAGGAACCTACAGCGTATTGGTGGAGACGGTAAACACACACCTATCAGACACAGAGCAGAGTGTCCACCTCTGCCGGGAAGAACCACAGCAAGCTTCCCAAGGACATGAAGTCAAAGCTGAGACCAATTAGAAAATCCATACTAAGCCCCTTGAAGATTCAGGAGTGAATAAAACACTCTGCCCTTTGATACATGGACCAAAGAAGAAGAGAACTCAAATACTTAGTTCGCAAACAACATGCCAGGGTTCTAGAATAGAGCAACTGTCTGGAGTGGGGTGGAATCATCATCATCAGGAAGGTTTCCCAGGGAAGGGGGCATGTAAACCTGAGCCAGAGGAATAAGTAGAAATGCTCTAAGGGAGATGATGGGGAGGATGTCCAGGGAAAACTAAAGAACATGAGGTAAAGACATGAGGGTGTGAATGGGTGTGCCCATGTGCGGACAAGCAATTAGTTCAGAGCATGGGAAAATAAGCAGAGTGCACAGGGAGGGGGATAGGGGAGGAGGCACACCTCACCAATCTGATTTGTTGCTTCCTCCCTGGCCCTGCATTGTAACTCTGCCTGATAACTATCGAATCATCAATGCTGGCACTGGAAGTCTCTCTAAAAGAGTTACTCCAGTGCTGTTTATAAAATACACAGTAGAAAAATCAACAGGGGTTTTCTTCCCCTATATGAAAAACTTTGGTTTAAAAGACAGGGCAGGGTTCATCAGTAGAGATCCAACAGCAAGCTGCGCAGATATCTTGAGCAACAACCTAAATTCCATAGCAGGTGATGTCACCTATAAATGCCCTATAAATGGAGGAAGTCTTCGGGTGCATCTGAATGATTTATCTGCACAGATACCCAGTGCTACAAGCATGGCTGTCTCAGCACTACGGCTGACGATTGTCCTGGGACTACTGGTCTTAATCCTGACTTGCCAGGCAGGTAAGTGCTTCTGACCGCAGCTCATACCTTGTGCACTGTCAGCTAGGATTGCAGGGAGGTGGCAGCACTGCTCCAGAACGTAAAGGGGAGAGGGGGGAAGGGGACTTTGGGCAATGCAGAAAGAGCACTGGACTAGGAGACAAGAGGCAGATCTTCTAGATTCTATATTGTTTATTTCTGCTCTGATCTTTATTATTTCTCTTCTTCTGCTGGATTTAGGCTGTCTTTGCTGTTCTGCTTCTATTTCCTTTAGGTGTGCTGTTAGATTTTGTATTTGGGATTTTTCTTGTTTCTTGAGATAGGCCTGGATTGCAATGTATTTTCCTCTCAGGACTGCCTTCGCTGCATCCCAAAGCTTTGGATTGTTGTGTTTTCATTTTCATTTGTTTCCATATATTTTTTAATTTCTTCTCTGATTGCCTGGTT